TCTCAATATAAGGGAGTTACCAAAATCTTAACTTCAAGGGGCAGTCTCCTATGGGCCCTTGGCTAGAACTTTGCAATTTAAAAATTACACACAGCCAGATATACACAGGGGGACAAGAGAAACCAAGATTATTCATCCCGTGGCATTATCAGAACTAGTCATATGAATTTTGGAGCCTCTGATGCCTGGATCTAGCTACCTCTTTCATTTAGCAGAATATGAAAATACAGCCAAGTAGCCAATAAGCCATCCTCCTTCTGAGCTGCCTGCTTTCTGGCCTGGGAATTATGATGCCATGCCCCTTCCCAGCTGCCAGCAGCCAGCCATTTGTCTTGACCTGATGTTGAAAACTTTACTGTCACCTTGTTTGCAGGCCACAGCCAAGGTCCCCTTGGTCTTAGAAAAGAAATATGGGGTGAAATGCTGATTCGTTCTGGAAAGCTTGTCATCAGAATGCTAAGGGCAGACCCCTTCAGGTCAAGTTCATCAGGATTTCTAATCTCACCAATATTTTCTGAATTTGATAATTGTTGAAATGTGCTACTGTAGTTATCTATAATGGTTGGGTTTTGAGGGAGTCTGAGGGTCATGAAGAAGACTCAGTTTGGACAGAGGCATAGAGGGCAAGGTACTAGAGAGGACCTGTGGTTTGGTACCCAGGTTGGACTCATCCTCTAGTTCAGAACCACTAACGTAGAATCCTTAATTTAATCCTTTTTCAGTTATTGTTGCTCCTGATTTGTGTTTAGTCTAGCTTCAGATGGCAATCTCTCCCTTCCCTTTAATAAAGCTATATGACTTTGGACCTTCCTTTACTTGTGTCTAAAATGGGGACAATAATCCCTGTCCAGCTTACCTCACGGAGCTGTAGTAAGGATCACTTCAAAAGGTCTATGTGTAAGTGTTCTTATTTGGGAGCTGGGAGACCTGGGTTTCAGTTCTGGCTCTGCTTGAAGCAAGTTGTGACCTTGAATAAGTCACTTTTTAACCTCTCTAAGGCTCAGTTTCCTCTTCTGGAAAATAAGGGAGTTGGACCAGGTCAGAGGGCCTTAACCTGTGGTTTATAAGTTTGTTTTTCAAAAAAAAAAATTTTATTAATGAATGTCAATATAATTGGCTTATTCTGTAATCCTATGTATTTTGTTGTATGCATTTAAAAATAATATTCTGAAAAGAGGTCATCAGGTTTCACCAGACTGCCAAAGGGGTCCAAAACACAAGCTTAGGAACCCCTGAACTTGGATGGTCCTCACTAACTCTAAAATTTCATATTTTTGTTGTTATATAATGAAAAAAGGACCTTCTATACCCCAACTTCCATATTTGGATTGACCATTTTTTCCAGGCTCCTTATAAAACCCTCACGTAGATACATAATGCTCTGTCTAAACTGGAAAATATGCCATGCTCCCAACAGCCCATGCTTTGCAAATTTGAAATTTTTCTTTCTGAAATGCTCTAAAGCACTATTGATTAGAGAAATGCAAAGCAAAATGACTCTGAGGTGCCACATCACACCTATTAGATTGGCTAACATGACAAAAGAGGAAAATGATAAATGTTGGAGAAGATGTGGGAAAATTGGAACACTAATGCATTGTTGGTGGAGTTGTGAACTGATCCAACATTTTGGAGAGCAATTTGAAACTATTCCCCAAGGGCTATAAAAATGTACATCCCCTTTGACCCAGCAATAGCACTTCTAGGGATGTATCCCAGAGAGATCATACAAATGGGAAAAAGACTCACATGTACAAAAATGTTTATAGCAGCTGTTTCTGTGGTGGCAAAGAATTTCTGTGGTGGAAATTGAGGGTACGCCCATCAACTGGGGAATGGCTGAACAAGCTGTGGTATATGAATATAATGGAATTGTGTTCTTATTGTGTTATAAGAAATGATGAATAAGTGGACTTCAGAAAAAGCCTGGAAAGACTTTCATGGACTGATGCTGAGGGAAGTGAGCAGAACCAGGAGAATATTGTACATAGTAACAGCCACATTGTGCAATGACTAACTTTGAGAGACTTAGCTCTTCTCAGCAATACAAGGATCTCCAAAAGACTCATGATGGAAAATGCTATCCAAATCCAAAGAAAGAACTATGGAGTTTGAATGCAGATTGAAGCATAGTATTTGCTATTTTTTTCTCTTCTGTTTTGTTTCCTCTTTCTTGTGGTTCATCCTATTGGTTCTAAATCTTCCTTACAACGTGACTAATGTGAAAATATGTTTAATAGGAATGCATATGTAGAGCCTATATCAGATTGCACGCAGTCTTGGGGAGGAGAGCAGGGAGGGAGAGGGAGAAAATTTAAAACTCAAAAGATTGTGGAAGTGAATGTTGAAAACTAAAAATAAATTAATTTAAAAAAAAAAGAAAGAAATCTTACTTACATCACCCTCTCTGCTATTTCCCCATCCTTAATGGTTCAGCCTGGTTGCTGCATCCTCAATGGTACTTTCCCTTGTGCTCACCCACTTCTGGTATCTTAGCATGGTGTTCCATTCTGTACCATTCTTACAAACTCATCATTGTCAAGCTCCTGGATTGGAGAGAACTATGGTAGTGGCTAAAGACTTGGATTCAAAACTTGCCTTTGATACACATTGGCCATGTGACTCTGTATACCTCCAAGACTCTAAGTGGTGAAGATGGTTCTGATCTGCACCAGTAAAGGGATTTTCCTCCCTTGGGAGTTCCCAGTACCAATTAAATCACAGGTCTACTCCCTATCCCTCCCACTTCCCAGCACAGTATATTGTATAGGGTTACTGCTTAGAAATTGTTGTTGTTGTTGTTGTTGTTGTCCTTCATTCTCAAAGAGGACCAATGACGTCAGGAGGAGGATGCCTTGACTTGCAAGTGAACTGGATTTAAGTGAGGGAGGGCTGTGCAAAGTCATCAGCCTCACTCTCTCCTCCAGAGTCATTGGAGTGCATTGGCAATACATAGATCAAGACAACTGGCAATGGCCTGGGATGCAGTGGGCAACCCTGGCCCTAAGGTCTTTCCTAGGTCTCAGTTTGTCTGAGGCAACACCCATTCAGTGATTAAAGGTTAGGTAAGAACTGAGACAAAAGATGGCCTAGTTTGCCTTCCCCAAAATACTGGCTGAATAAATACTGAAAAGAAACCCAGAGATGGTGACACTTAACATGTTGCTATTTTACAGATCCTTAGAAATAACAGTGCCCTGAAAATGGGCTCTAGGGTTTAAGTATTCTCTAAGAAAAATATGTATGGTGGACCCATTGCTGTCCTGGGAAAGCTCTAGATTTATATCAGTTCTATCATTCTTCATGTATTTAGAAGCACCTTCACTTTTTTCTGACAATAAATTCAGTCCTGGATCTTTGTAGGCACAAAGACAACTTAAGCTCCCTAAATCAATGCCCCGCTTCCTGTTTGTTTTCCACTCTGCCAAATGGCATCACCCTGCAGACATGAACTGCCTTTCTATGTATTTTCCCTGGGCATTATTGTCACATAGGGCAACTTGGTCACTGAACTGCTTACAATTTTGCAACCAATAAAAACAGACCAGCTCTCGTCTGGGAATTTTAATTTAATTGTGAAATATGCCTGCTGAAGTCTTCCTCTCCCTTTCCAGCTTAGAATGCTTGTTAATGCATATAATTCCTAAGTACAAATTGAAAGGAAAGCATGCCCTTTGTTTTTCTTAATCTAATTTGGGTGTGCATTATCAACTCAACATTTCCGTGCTATTAATTCTCAGGAAGTCAATGGCAGTGGAAGTATCCAGGCCAGGTGTAAATAACAATGTTGCCTGTAACCATCTCTTCTCAGGAAATTGGCACAGGTTTCATCAGCCTTGAGAATTCTTACAAATCCATGGGAACTTGGAGGTCAACTAGACTTTAATTCATAAATCCCCCTCATTCATCCATTCATTTATTTTGCCATTCAGTCCCTATTGACTGAGCACCTTTTTACTTATCCCATTGCTGAAATTCTTCTGAAGTGGTAACTTGGTCAAAATTGACCTCCCTGGACCCATAGATTCTTAGATTCACAATAGACCCATAGTGTTGACCTCTGGAAATAACAGGATGTTTCATTAACTCTTTCGTTTAGTGGCCCTTCTAATATCTGGAGAATTTTGAGATACTGATCATACTTTACTCCAATTTTATCTCCCATTGGGGAAAGTATAGCAAAAAAAAGAAAGACTTTTTAAAACAAATACAGTTCCCTATGTTTCTGTCTAATTTGTTTAAATTTCTAGTAAATATATCGATTCTTTTAAAAGCACAGTTGGAAATATTGAGTTCCTGATTACTACACTGGGTCAAAACTGGTCTAATTTGTTATTCCATTTGCTCAAGAAGTTTCAGTGACTCCCTATTACCCTAAGGACAAAATACAAACTCTTCTGTTGGGTGTTGAAAACACTTCACTGTTTGGCTTCTTACTACTTTTCCAAACTGATTTGAAATGAATTTCTATCATGCACTCTGTCTTCTTGTTGAAAAGACCTTCTGGCTGTTGTCCAAGCATGGCATCACATTTCCTACTTCTGTACCTTTGCATAAGCACTTCTCTATTCCTGCATTGCCTTTCCTCCCTTTTGCCTCTTAGGATCTCTATCTCTATTCAGGGCTGAGTCCAAGTGCAAACTCCTTCCTGAAAGCTTCCTCATTGCCTCAATTAATAGCCCCCTTCTGAAATGACTTCGTATTTCTGTATTTGTGTATGTGCCATTTCCTACCAGGAGACAGTGCTCCTTAGGGGCAGGAACGATTATGTTTTTGCCTTAGTATCCCCAGTGCCTGGACCAAAGTAGATAGTAATTAATGTTGTTTTGAATGAAACAATCATATTTTCCCTTCGTGCTTTATAGTCTTATATCTGGTCACATCCAACTCAATCTGGTTATTGAAGAAGCATCCATTAAATGCCCATTAGGTGTACAGCACTGTATTGGGAGGCAATAGTGAGAAAAAGAATAATCACACAGGTGCTTCCTGTCTCCTAGGGTGATATGTACACAGCAAGGCTGATACAGGAACTACACCTAGCATCATGGTTGATGGCAACACTAATGAGACAGAGCAAGGATTGGATGTAAGTATTGTGTTTTCAATAGGGAAGAAGGACAAGACAAACCACCATATTACCTCCAAAGTCTATCCCTCCCATTTGTGATGCAATCACCCTAACATATTCCATGTTAACCCCTTGGCTTTTGAACTTCTAGGAACTACTTTCATCCCTCCTGCCTTGTCTTATGGACTTAATATGATGCTAAGCTCTGACCCTGACCTGACATGATGGATTTTGGTTTATTCTCTGAACAAGACTCAAGCCATACCCTCTTCCCCTCTGCCTTGTTGACTGATCTTAGTAGGACTGTCCTGGTCCCATCCCTTCTAGAGAGTAAGATAATTATTGTTCACTAGTTGTGTTATTCTAGTCTGAGGTGGTCATCTCTCCTTTACCTTAATCAGTTTGGTACCCTGTTGTTGACATTTTCTAACTAACTGAAAGTCAAAATGGTAGAAAGAGCTTCAGTACTAGAGGATCTGGTTGCCAATGCCAGCTTTTCTTGTTGCCAACATTGGTGAAACGGGAGGGTTGACCTACTGGTTCTCAAAGATCCTTTCCAGTTCTATATCTTGTGTCTTGAAATCTGCTGACCAGAAGCAGCTCAGTTTTGCACAAAGGCAGAATTATGTCCTCTCTTTCATTTCTAGCCATCGTGATGATGGCTAAAATTCTGCTACCTATTTTTGGTCCATTGGGCCTGTGGCTTCCATTTGCTAGTCTATGACAGCAACTTATTGCATGAGCAAACGCATCTGTACTGGAGAAAACCACTTTGATGGCAAACTACTGTGACAGCAAATTGGACTGATAGTAAAATAATCAAATAGAAAAACCATCTCAGAGCTGAACCTTGGGGAGGAAAAAGAAAACCATGCCTGATATCTCTGGCTAGGATACTTGAATCTTGTCATTTTGCTCCTTGAGAATTATATCGTTTTTTCACCTAAAGATTTTCTTGTCTGTTTGTGGGGTGGTTGTTACTGTTGTTGTTGTTAAACAACTATGGCTTAGAAAGTTTAGTTGGCTCAGTGAATTACACCCGAACTGGAAACTGTTCCCAAAGTATCCAGGCAAGATGGAAATGATGATAGCTAAAGACTTGTATCTTGGGGCCAAGTAAAGCTCTTAATTGAAATTGAAATGATTTGCTAGCTAGGCTCTTTCAGGGATTAGGGCAAAGGAGCCCATTAACCAAGGACAAAACTTCCAGGAGATAATTTTTGGATTAGGAAACTTAGTGAGTTGTTTATCATATTCTGCAAATGACTCACATTCTAGCAACAACTATGGGAGTCCCCTTGATGAATGTTCCCAGTATGATAATTCTTTCTTTTTTTTTTTTTTGGTGCTAAGAGGGGTTGGCAATAAATTTTACCAAGATCTACAGCAGAATAAAATGTGTAGGTGAGATCTAAACCTCATTAGTTTGGGCATTGGTTGAATGCTTTGAGTCATGATTCAAATAAAATCTCAAAGGGTATCTTGTTAGGGGTGCAACCTCTTACCTGCTCATTCTCATGGACACGTGGGGAGTCAATAGGAAAAGCTTTGAAAGAGAAACATAGTTTGAAGTACACTGGGAAAATGAAAAGGACACCCTTCTGAATGTGTCTATGGCTTTTGAGCCAGGCTGGCTGAAAAATCTTGGTTTTGGTGAGGAAGACATGGCTTAGAAGGAAGGCTTACTTCCTTCACACTTAGAGCAATATAAAAGGATCATTCCACAGTGCTTGAAGGTATATATAGAGCTAAGTGTAGTATGTTTTCCTCATTATCCCTTTTTAACAGATGAGGAAACTGAGGTCCAGAGAGGTCAGTTGACTCAGCTGGGATCACAAGGCTAGGAAAGGTCAAGGTCTTCCTGAGTGCAGGGCCAGGCTCCTTTTCTTCCTGCCACCCCATCCTCCTCTTTTGTCACACAGCTGCCCTCCCTAAGAGCATTGACCTGTGGCAGCCACTGTTAGCCTTGTGTCCTGCCTCAGTGGGAGAAGGAGAGAGCAGCAACAGAGTAGGATCCAAATGGCTTCTAGGTTAAAGGGGAAATTTGCATTGGCATAATCATTGTTATACATGAAGTTCATGGAATTTTAAAATGCAGTCTTGCCTGTTTTCATTCCCTTGAAGGCCTTCCGACTGCAAAGCCTCACTGGCATTCAGTACACAGTCACACAGGGAGAAGGATGTAAAGCACAGATTTAGAAGCCAGCTAGGCAGGACATGAATTATCTGGCCCCTTCCTTTTCCTCTTCACCCCTCCTGTCCCTAGGCTCCTCATTTAGCTGCTTGTTACCACCTCTGCAAGAGCCTGGGAAAGGAAAGTCGAATAAGTCATCTGCCATTTGGGGTTTGCTTCACCAGGGGACACACCATACCAGCATCTTTCTGCCTGTCTGGGTTCCAAGATCCCGGGAAAAGGGCTTAGATTCTTTTCTACCCACCCACCCCCTCATTTGACCTCTTTGTTCCAGGTGTTGCTCTGCTTCTCCTTTTCATACTGGGATCAAAACACATTAATGAATTGATGCTTGAAATTCCTCCTTTTGTGGTCTTTGTGGTGTTGCAAACTTCATTACTGTGTTTGCATGGTGATCTCATTAGTGTGGGACACCCTTCAGTGATGTAGATTGCAGGGCATCCTGTGCAGCTCGTGAGCGTTACCTCCTAAAAATCTACCAATAAATCACAGATTGTTGACCTAATATGCTGCTCCCCCTTTTTCATTCTTTTGACTTTACATGGATATCCCAGGATCAGGGTTTTAGAGCTAAAAGTGGCTTTAAAATGCATCAACCTCAACCTTCTCATTTTATAGATCAGGAAACTTAAAAAAAATACAGAGATTAAATGACTTGCCCAGGGTCACACAGCTAGGGAGGGTATGAGATAGGATTTGAACCCAGGTCCTCTTAACTCCAAATGCAATGCCCTATCCATGATTCTAGCCTGTCCCAATGGAGCATGCAATCTATTTATTAACTCTCATTCTTCTTATGCAACTAACCACTCTTTTCTTCTGGTCACATATTTTTTTTTTCTGATGGCATACTTTATATTCCATTGCCCTTTGGGTGATCTTTAGTGTAAGGTTTTCAAATATTATCATATTACATAACTTGTAGCCATATTTTGGAACAAAATCAATAAAAGAACAGTCCAGGGGTTGAGGGCAAGAACTCTAATTTGGATGACACTTGGAAAAATGGGAAAAGAGTTTGGCAGAAATTGAATTTAGGCAGACATCTTCTACCATATTCCACAATAAGTTCGAAATAGATATGTAACCTGAATACTAGAGGTCACCATGTAATAAATTAGAAATAAACATCAGAAACCTTTTGGAGCAAGGACTTGAAGAATTTTTGACAAGAGTTAGAGTTCATAAAAGGTAGACAAGTTTGACTCCATAAGATTAAAATGTTTGGCATGAATAGGATAAAAGAAGACAGAATCAGAAGACAAATGGTAAAGAGAAAATACAGCATGTCCCAAAAGTTTTGGTGGTGTTCTAAGCTATAATAACTTTATCCTTTAATAGCTTAAAACTGCACCAAGACTTTTGGGACACCCTGTATTTGCATTAAATATAACTGACAAAATATAGAGAGAATTAATACAAATATTCAACATGAAAAGTTAATGTTGGAAGGGCTGTGGGAAGACAGGAACATAAATTCATTGTTAGTATAACTATAAATTAGTTCAGCTGTTCTTGATCTCATTTTGGAATTATGTGAGAAAATTGCCTAAGCTATTCATATTCTTCTATATTCATACTCAGCATTCCTGTTTCTATGTGTTGGCCCTAAATTAGTCAAAGACAAAATCAGAAGTCTAATCAATACTCAGAAATAGGGGCAGCTAGATGGTGCAGTGGATAGAGCACCAGCCTTGGATTCAGGAAGACCTGAGTTCAAATCTGGCCTCAGACACTTGACACTTACTAGCTGTGTGACCCTGGGCAAGTCACTTCACCCCATTGCCTCAACCCCCCCCCCCAACTACTCAAAAAATTGTTTCAATATCACTTGGGTAACAAAGAACTGGACAAAAATGTAGATTAGCTGGAGAAATTAGGTTCTGTGGATTCAAGGGCATATGAATAGAATGCAATATTGTACAATAAGAAAAGAGGAATATGAGGGATTAATAGAACCACGAAAATGTCTATGAACTGATGAGGAGTAGAATAAAAACATCAAAGACAACTATACACTTCATTCAAACAATGTAATTTTAAAATTCACTAAAAGGAACTTTAACTGAGTGAAAAAACAAATGAAATTTCTGGAGACCAGCTAATGAGATGTAGCTTTCCATTCCTCAACCCCTCAGGGCAGAAAGACAGGTCACTACTGAGACATGATACCATATGTGTTGGCAGGTGTGATCATTGTATCTGCTGTTCTTGTTTGATGTTTTTATCAAAATGGAGGGTTAAAAGGGGTTGTGAAATGACTGTGAAAGTAAAGAAAAAAGGTATCAATGAAGGGAATTTTAAAAAAATGAAGATGGACTTTTGTTTTGGAGAGAAGGTTTCAGCCATTGAATGAATTATAAATTTTGCCAATGGTAATTCAGCTTGTTGTCCTATTTAAATCTGGGTCTGGTACATTATCCATTAAATGTTTGTCTAAGGTATGTGTACCGGTGGATGAACTTTGGGTTGTCTATCCAGTTGTATAGCATCCAACTTCCAATTGATTATCAGGTTTCATCTGCTTGGTTTTTCCTGTGTGAATAGGTGGATTTTTGAGTGATCATGGGTCGCATTTGGAAGACTTTTCAATGTTTTGGAATTTGATGGAATTATTACAATGTCACTGGCAAGTAAGGTCCAGAGGACTTGACCACATATAGGGAGTCACTCTTCCATTTAGACTCCATGTTAAATATCCTCCATGACAGTGACGAACAGTTTTAGGCATCCATAGCCTGGGTTTATTCCTTACTTCTGCCCTCTGCATCTCTTTTCCTCTTCTCTGGTAATAGTTCTTATTAGAATGGTACTGAAGCACATT